AGGAGAGAAGCAACCTGGAATGAAGGAGAAACTTCCTGACAGTGAGAAGTATTAACCAGTGGAACTCCTTGCCTCTAGAAGTTGTGGGTGCTCCAACACTGGAGGTGTTTAAGAAGAGACTGGAGAGCCACCTGTCTGGAATGGTATAGGATTTCCTGACTGAGCAGGGGGTTGGGCTAGAAGACCTCCAAGGCCCCCTCCAACTCTGTTATTCTATTTTAAGTTCACCTTGCAGGAGGTGAACAGAGTCGGGACCGTTAGGATTGCTGGCGGGAGAAGATCTTTCCAAAAACAGGGTGATTCCTGGGTCCCCAAGTGGCACGGGGCTGCCCGTGAAGAGTCTTCGGAAGCCACAGCTGGCATAGAATGCAGAAGATGGACTCCTTAAGGGGGCGCAAAGGTGGCCCCTAACTCCACTGGGCCCAATTCAAGATGTTGGTTATGGGTCCAGGTTACCAGAGGAACTGTTTCAGCCCAATGGGTGTGGCCGCCCCACTTGTGCTGGTCAAGGAATTTGAACTGGGAAAGGGGGGTGTCCAGGAGAGGAGCCCTTCAGAATTAGAACCAGACTAGAGCTAAAAGGGACCGTGGAGGTCTTCTAGTCCAGCCCGCTGCTCAAGCAGGAGGCCCTAGCCTAGACCATTTCAATCAATCAATCAATCAATCAATCAATCAATCAATCAATCAATCGGAATAGAGCTGGAAGGGGCCTTGGAGGTCTTCTAGTCCAGCCCACTGCTAGAGCAGGAGACCCTATACCATCTCAGACAAGTGACTGTCCAGTCTCTTCTTAAAAACATCCAGTGATGGAGTGCCCACAACTTCTGGTGGCAAGCTGTTGCACTGATTATAGGCTAAAGCATACAGTATAAGGAACAGTTGCTGGAATTGGGTCTGTCTAGTTTAACGAAGAGAAGGACGAGGGGGGACAGGATAGCAGCCTTCCAGTATCTCAGGGGCTGCCCCAAAGAAGAGGGAGTCAAGCTATTCTCCAAAGCCCCTGAAGGCAGGACGAGAAGCAACGGATGGAAACTCATCACGGAGAGAAGCAACCTAGAACTAAGGAGAAACTTCCTGACAGTTAGAACAATTAACCAGTGGAACCACCTGCCTCCAGAAATTGTGGGTGCTCCATCACTGGAGGATTTTAAGAAGAGACTGGACACCCCATTTGTCCGAAATGGTCTAGGGTTTCCTGCCTGAGCAGGGGGTTGGGCTAGATGACCTCCAAGGTCCCTTCCAACTTTACTATTATTATTATTGTTGTTGTTCTTGTCTTCACTGTCAGGAAGTTTCTCTTTAGTTCCAGGTTGCTTCTCTCTTTGGTCAGTTTCCAAACATGGTTTCTTGTCCTGCCATCTGGTGCTTTGGAGAATAGTTTGACCCCCTCCTCTTCTTTGTGGCAGCCCCCCCAAAAAACTGAAATACTGCTATCCTGTCACCCCTATTTCTTCTTTTCTTTAGACTAGCCAAACTCAAGTCCCGCAGCCGTTCTTCGTGTGTTTTAGTCTCCAGGCCTTGGATCCTCTTAGTTGCTCTTCTCTGGATTTTTTCCAAACTCTCAACATCTTTTTTTCTGATATGGTGACCAAAACTGGCTGCATTGTTCCAGGTGTGGCCTCACCAGGGTTTTATAAAGCGGTACTAATACTTCGCCTGATCTTGATTCTATGCCTCTGTTTATGCAACCCAGGATTGTGTTAGCTTTGTTGGCTGCTGCTGCACACGGCTGGCTCACGGTGAAGTGATCGTCCATTAAGGCTCCAAGGTCCCTCTCCCAGTGGCTGTTTTTGTGCCAGATTTTGCCTAATCTATACCTGAACGTTTTTTTTCCTGCCCAGGTGTAAAACCTTGCTTATCTCCACATTAAATTAAATTTAATTGAGATTTAACTTTAATCTCCTGCCCTGGCTCCCATTCTCTGGAACATTGTGCCCCTGGAGCGGAGATCCGCTTGGCTTTCGAGAAGGGCTGGAAAATCTGGGTCTGACGGTTGACTTGGGGTGCTGATGGGGACGTCCCAACTTGGGGGTGTCTATGGGGGTTCTCCCTCATCCAAGTCATGGCTGTCCCACAGGTGCTTTTCCAAAAGGCAACCGGACTTTCGTGGGGTTTTTTTTTCCCCTTGAAGGCATTTTACTTGTCATCCAAGAGAAGTTTCACTTCTCAGGGGCTGCCCCAAAGAAGAGGGAGTCAAGCTATTCTCCAAAGTGCCTGAAAGCAGGACAAGAAGCAACGGGTGGAAACTCATCCAGGACAGAAGCAACCTGGAACTAAGGAGAAACTTCCTGACAGTGAGAACAATTAACCAGTGGAACCACCTGCCTCCAGAAGAGGTGAATGCTCCAACACTGGAAGTTTCTAAGAAGAGACTGGACAGCCATTTGTCAGAAATGGTATAGAGTTTCCTGCCTGAGCAGGGGGTTGGACTAGATGACCTCCAAGGTACCTTCCAACTTTATTATTATTATTATTATTATTATTATTATTATTATTATTATTATTAGTATTATTATTATTATTATTATTAGTATTATTATTATTATTATTATTATTATTATAAGCTTCTTTAGTTCTTCAGACGCTCCAGATCTGAAGAAGCCTCTTGAATGAGAAGCAAAAGGTTTTCAACGGGGGAAAGAAAAAAAAAACCCCACCACGGAAGTCCAGTTGGAAAAGCAGCTGTGGGACATATATTGGAGATGGCTACAGGTGGTCCTCAACTTACGGCTGCTCAATTTAGCCACGGGTCAAAGTTACAACAGGCTTCCCCAGACTACTTACGGCCCAGACTCAAAATTTCAATGGCTCCCCCCCCCAAGTTAAGGGATTATATTTTGGGCTCCCAGGGACACATTGGCGATTACGGCCCTTTGCACCATCGCTTAACGACGGCTGCAAAAAAAGGTCATAAGATTTATAATAATAATAATAATAATAATAATAATAATAATAATAATAATAACAACAACAACAACAATAATAACAGTGATGAAGATGCACTGAAATTAGTATATCAGGAAGGCTTACTGACTACTGGAGAGACCAAACTGGCCTACAAGAAAGAGCAAATGAAGAACAGAATAGAGGCATGGGAAGACAAAGCACTGCATGGCCAGTACATTAAAAAAAATAGCTGGGAAAGCAGATAATAACAAGACCTGGCAATGGCTAAGCGCAGGAAAGTTGAAGAAAGAGACCGAGGGACTAATTCTGGCTGCACAAGACCCAGCCTTAAGGACAAATGCATACAAAGTCAAAATTGAGAAGACAGCAACAGACAGTAAGTGCCTCCTATGCAAAGAAGCTGAAGAAACAGGGGACCACCCGGTAAGCTGCTGCAAGAAGATCGCACAGACTGACTACAAGCAGCGGCATGACAAAGTAGCAACAATGGTGCATTGGAAGATCTGCAAGAAATATCATTTGCCTGTAAGCAAGAACTGCTCGGATCATAAAATAGAGAAAGTCATAGAAAATGATAAAATTAAACTGCTCTGGGACTTCAGAATTCAAACAGACAAGCACCTGCCACATAACACCCCGGACTTAACAATTGTCGATAAGAAAGACAAAAAAGTCTGGATAGTGGACGTGGCAGTGCCTGGAGACGGCAGAATAGACGAGAAAGAACTGGAGAAGATAACAAAATACAGAGACCTACAAATAGAAATAGAAAGACTGTGGCAAAGGCAAGCAAGGGTAGTACCAATAGTAATAGGCGCCTTGGGTGCAATCCCAAAACAACTGGAGCACCACTTGGACACCATCATCGGCATTGACAAATTCGCCATCAGTCAATTGCAAAAGGCAGCCTTACTAGGAACTGCTTCCATCCTGCGACAAGATCTGTGATACCGTCAAACATCCACATCTGCCTATCCCAGGTCCTTGGGAAGGGCTCGATAGGTGACAAAAATGCCAAATCCAGTCTGAACATCTGGCTGACTGCGCGATGATCCATAATAATAATAATAAAGTTGGAAGGGACCTTGGAGGTCATCTAGTCCAACCCCCTACGGTTATGTGGTTATAAACTCCTCCTAAGGAGGCTGGTGGCAACGTGGTTAATATGTGGGATATAAAATGTACACAGGTCGTCCTTGACTTACAACAGTTCATTTAGTGACCGTTCAGAGTTACAACTGAACACTGAAAAAAGGAACTTGGGACCGTTTTTCACACTTACGACCGTCGCGGCATCCCCAGGGTCACATGATCCAAATTCAGATGCTTGGCAACTGACCAGTATTTGTGACGGTTTCAGTGTCCTGAAGTCACGTGATCCCCTTTGGCGACCTGCTGACAAGCCAAGCCAATGGGAGGGGGAGTCGGATTCGCTTAACGGCTGTCTCACTAACTCAACAGCTGCAGCGACCTGCTTAACGACAGCGGCGAGAGAGGTCGTAAAACAGGGCAAAATCCACTTCACAACCGTCTCGCTTAGTGACAGAAATTTTGGGCTCAATTGTGGCCGTACGTCAAGGACTCCCTGAACCCAACTAGCCATCAGAGACGGTCCTCAACCTACGACTACAATTGGGATCAGAACTGCTGTTGCTAAGCCAGACGGTTGTTAAGTAAGCTGAACCTGATTTTTACAAACTTTTTTTTGGGGGGGGGCATGGATATTAAGCAAATTACTGCGGTTGTTAAGGTCAGAAGCCACCTGGGAAGGTTGCAATAGCGATCACGTGACCCAGGGATGCTATAACCAGGGTTATCGCATGTCGGTTGCCAAGCGCCCAAGTTTTGAACATGTGACCGTGGGGGGGGAGGATGCTGTGATGGTCGTAAGTGTGAGGACTGTTTGTAAGCTGTTGTAATTTCAAGTGATCGCTCAAGGAATGTGTGTAATCCAAGGACTACCTCTCTTAATCAATGAAGCTGCTTTTTCTACTTTCTGCCTGTAATATAGAAATGTTAACACCTGATTACATTTATCAGGACTGGTTTTTTTTCCTGAGAAAGAGATGAATAAGAAGTAATATCAGAAATACTTACAGGGCGGTGTGGCTTGGAGAATCCTTTTTCTTGAAACACTTTTGGAAAAAGTGAAAAAGAGAAGGGGAGGGAATGGAAGGGAAGGAAAAGTGAAAAATGGAATGGAGAAAGAAAGAAAGAAAGAAAGGAAGGAAGGAAGAAAGAACGAGAGAGAGAGAGAGAAAGAAAGAAAGAAAGAAAGGAAGGAAGGAAGAAAGAACGAGAGAGAAAGAAAGAAAGAAAGAAAGAAAGAAAGAGAAAGAGAGAGAGAGAGAAAGAAAGAAAGAAAGAAAGAAAGAAAGAAAGAAAGAAAGAAAGAAAGAAAGAAAGAAAGAAAGAAAGGGACAGACGAACAGGGCAACAGAAAAAAAGAAAGAGAAAGAAAGACACAAAGAGAGAGAGAAAGAAAGATGGAAAAAAGAAAGAAAGAAAGAAAGAGGAGGAAGGAACGAAGGAAGGAAGGAAGAAAAAGAGAAAGAATTAATTTTCATAGTCAGAAACAGCTCAAATCCCTCCATGAGTGACTCTTTTGGCACAATATCAAGGTTATTTCTTTATTTACATTTTATATTAATAAATGAGAATACTTGTAATTCAGGACTAAACTGTGGGGTCCCTGGTGCTCTCTGAGCTGACTGCTTTTTTTGCAGACGTTTCATGACCCAACTAGGTAACATCATCAGTGCTAGTCCTCACATTTCATATCAATTTAAACCACCCATCTCCCTCCAAAAGGGGCTTGGGCATTTAAGAGGGGTGTGTTGGCCTAGGCCAGGGGTCTTCCAACGTGGCCCTTTGATGACTTGGGGACTTCAACCCCCAGAATTCCTCAGCCAGGATGCTTTAAGACAGGGGTCTTCCAAATTTTCATTTTATTTTCAAAGTTAAAAAAGAAAATACAGGTGATCCTTGACTTAACAATGGTTCTTTTAGAAGCTGGGGTCTTCCAACTTGGCCCTTTCGTGACTTGTGGACTTCAACTCCCAGAATTCCTCAGCCAGGCACGCGTGCCTGGCTGAGGAATTCTGGGAGTTGAAGTCCCCAAGTCATCAAAGGGCCATGTTGGAAGACCCCTGTTTTAAAGCATCCTGGCTGAGGAATTCTGGGAGTTGAAGTCCCCAAGTCATCAAAGGGCCACGTTGGAAGACCCCTGTCTTAAAGCATCCTGGCTGAGGAATTCTGGGAGTTGAAGTCCCCAAGTCATCAAAGGGCCACGTTGGAAGACCCCTGTCTTAAAGCATCCTGGCTGAGGAATTCTGGGAGTTGAAGTCCCCAAGTCATCAAAGCGCCACGTTGGAAGACCCCTGGCCTAGGCTTTAAAGACGCACATCTGGAGCTCCAGCTTCCTCCTGGCCGAAAAGGCCCTTGCGAAAGGAAGTGGGCGGAAGCCACTCACGCTCTGCCACTCCTGCCCACAGATGTTGGGCAGAGGTGAAGCAACCGCAACAAGCCCATTATCTACCTGACAGGGCTGCATTTCGGCAATTAGGAAACCGGCCTAAGGGCAGGAGGCGGTTGGCAGCTCCTTCCTGCTGGGTGTGTGTTTGCACATGTGTGTGTGTGTGTGTGTGTGTGGGCACCAGGACTCAAGCAACAGCAGCACCTCCTGCAGGCTAAGCCAACTTAGAAGGTGGTTCTCCACAATCTTGGAGAGACCCGGTTTTCAAAAGGAAGCAGGCCGCCACACGTGACGCCTGGGTCACATCCAAGGCAGGACCACTTTGTAAAAATAGGAAAAAGCATGCGCGCACACACACACACACACACACACACCAGGCTTTCCACTGCACCCGTGACAGCCTCCTGCAGTGCCAAAGGCTACATGTCGGCCTGTAGGAAGAACAATCAGGTCCTATTAGGGTAAAGAAGACCCGGGGGGGGGGGGGACCATGTTTTTTGTTTGAATTCTACGTCAGTTGGTGTAGACTTGCGACTGAGCGGGTTTCAGCCCCGCAAAGTTATGGCCAATTGCAAGAATCTGTCTGTCTGTCTATCCATCCATATCTATCCACCCATCCATCATTATCTATCATCTATCTATCTATCCACCAATATTTATCATCTATCCGTCCATCCATCCATCCATCTACCCGCCCGTCCATCTATCCATCATTATCTATAGTCCATCCATATCTATGTATCTATGTATCTATGTCTATCTATCTATCTATCTATCTATCTATCTATCTATCTATCTATCTATCTATCTATCTATCTATCTATCTAATATACATCTGTCCATCCATCCATCATTATCTATCATCCATCTGTCCATCCATCTGTATGTATCTATGTATCATTTAATATACATCTGTCCATCATCATCTATCATCCATATCTATCTATCTATCTATCTATCTATCTATCTATCTATCTATCTATCATTTAATATACATCTGTCCATCCACCCATCATTATCTATCATCCATCTATCTGCCCATCTATATCTATATCTATATGTATATCTATCTATCTATCTATCTATCTATCTATCTATCTATCTATCTATCTATCTATCTATCTATCTATCTATCTATCTAATATACATCTGTCCATCCATCCATCATTATCTATCATCCATCTGTCCATCCATCTGTACGTATCTATGTATCTGTATCATTTAATATACATCTGTCCATCATCATCTATCATCCATCTCTGTCCATCCATATCTATCTATCTATCTATCTATCTATCTATCTATCTATCTATCTATCTATCTATCTATCTATCTATCTATCTATCTATCATTTAATATACATCTGTCCATCATCATTATCTATCATCCATCTATCTGTCCATCCATATGTATCTATGTATCTATGTATCTATGTATCTATGTATGTATGTATCTATCTATCTATCTATCTATCTATCTATCTATCTATCTATCTATCTATCTATCTATCTATCTATCTATCTATCTATCTATCTTTAAATATACATCCGTCTATCCATCCATCCATCCATCCATCCATCCATGTCCACATACACACACACATATACACACTTTCCCAAGTTCTACGTGTTTCCTTTTTTTTTCTTTCAAGCTCTCGTTCCTCTTGACTGGGTTTCGTGTGTTTATTTATTCATATTTTTTCCCCAATTTAGAAAGCCGCCCAGCTCACAAAACAAACAACGCCGGGCACCGTGTTCAATATGCCCTGTCTGATATTGTAGGGGAAGGAGGGGCAGAGGCCGGGGGCGGAGTCAAGAGAGGAATCAGCCTGGAATCCTTACGTTTCCCACAAACGGTTTTCAGTCCAAGCCCTCTTGAGTTTGGCGTTATCTAGCACCAAAATAGTGCTGGCCATTAGCTGACCAGATCCCCGGGCTTAGGCACGAGCAATAAATCGGCTTCACTGGAATGGAACTGGTGCGAAGAATTCGCGTGACCCTGATTCTTCGCGCCTGGCAGGTATATTTCGGAACGGCTCGGAGCAATCCACGGCCCTTCCTACCTGTACGATCTTCTCCCATCGAACCACAAGAGCGAAGAGCGCGATGAGCACCAGGACCACCCCTGCAGCGATGACCGCTTCGGTGGGGAAAGGCAGTTGACTCTCTGCAGGGGGGGGAAAGGAAGAGACGGCGACGTAAGACCCACTTTATTAAAGGCATTCAGCAAGCGCCGCCTTCCTTCCGTGGATCGGAATGCAGGGAGTCCTCTACTTACGACCGTCAACGGAACCTGGGATTCTCTTCGTCGGTTTTGCTGGTCATCAGGTTGAGTCAAGGACGTGGCTTTGTGAACTTTTTTGCAGCAGTCATTATGGGAATCACTGCAGCTGGTTAAGCCAGAGGTCCCCCACCTTTTGGGCACCAGGGACTCTGCCCACAGCCAGGAATGTTTGATCCTGACCGGCTCAGGGTTGACTCAGCTTCCCGTCCTTCCGAGGTCGGTAAAATGAGGACCCAGATTGTTGGCGGGGGGGGGGGGAGATAGGCAATATGCCGACTCTGTATATATAAGTCCAAGTGCTATTGCTTAGGAAGGAAGGAAGGAAGGAAGGAAGGAAGGAAGGAAGGAAGGAAGGAAGGAAGGAAGGAAGGAAGGAAGGAAGGAAGGAAGGAAGGAAATGGGAATGAGGGCGGGAGGGAAGGCGGGAGGGAGGAAGGAAACGGGAATGGAAATGGGAATGAGGGAGGGAGGGAGGAAGGAAGGAAGGAAGGAGTGGAATAGGAGGGAGGGAGAGAGGAAGGAAGGAAGCAAGGAAGGAAGGAAGCCCTGGTGGCACAGTGGTTAGAGTGCCATATTGCAGGCTGACTCTGCCCACAGCCAGGAAGTTCGATCCTGACCGGCTCAAGGTTGACTCACCCTTCCGTCCTTCCTTCCGAGGTCGGTAAAAGGAGGACCCAGATTGTTGGGGGGGGTAGGCAATATGCCGACTCTGTATATATAAGTCCAAGTGCTATTGCTTAGGAAGGAAGGAAGGAAGGAAGGGAGGGAGGGAGGGAGGGAGGGAGGGAAGGAAGGAGTGGAATAGGAGGGAGGGAGGGAGGGAGGAAGGAAGGAAGCCCTAGTGGCACAGTAGTTAAAATGCAGCATTGCAGGCTAAACTCTGCCCACAGCCAGGAAGTTCGATCCTGACCGGCTCCAGGTTGACTCAGCCTTACGTCCTTCCGAGGTCGGTAAAATGAGGACCCAGATTGTTGGGGGCAAATAGACTGACTCTGTAAATCACTTAGAGGGGTCTGTAAAGCACTGTGAAGCGGTATATAAGTTCAAGTGCTATTGCTATTGCTTTGATTTTGGTGCTTTTACAGAATAATGCAGCTGAAAGGGATCTTGGAGATCTTCTAGTCCATCCCTGCTCAAGCTGGAGACCCCAGACCATTCCAGCCAAATGGCTGTCCATTTTTGAAAAGGAAGGATTGGGAGATAAAGGCAAACTTTGGATAAGGAAGCCTTGCTGGCCGAGCCACAGACCACGATGGACAGGGCCAAGGGGGTGTGTGTCATAATAATTAGCCTGTTTGGTTTAGTGGTTAAGGCACCAGGATAGAAAGCGGGAGATTCTGAGTTCTAGTTTTGCCTGAGGCATGAAAGCCAGCTGGGTGAATTTGGACCAATCACCAGGAGGCAGTGAATTCTAGTCCTGCCTTAGGCATGAAAGCCGGCTGGGTGACTTTGGGCCAATCACCAGGAGACGGTGAGTTCTAGTCCCGCCTTAGGCATGAAAGCCGGCTAGGGGACTTTGGGCCAATCACCAGGAGACGGTGAGTTCTAGTCCCGCCTTAGCTGTGAAAGCCAGCTGGATGACTCTGGGCCAATCACCAGGAGGCTGTGAGTTCTAGTCCCGCCTTAGGCCTGAAACCCAGCTGGGTGACTTTGGGCCAATCACTAGGAGACGGTGAGTTCTAGTCCCGCCTTAGCTATGAAAGCCAGCTGGGGGACTTTGGGCCAATCACTAGGAGACGGTGAGTTCTAGTCCCGCCTTAGCTGTGAAAGCCAGCTGGGTGACTTTGGGCCAGTCCCTCTCTCTCATCCCAACCCACCTCACAGGGTTGTTGTTGTGGGGAAATTGGGAGGCGGGAGAGAGGTAGGATACATTCCTCGCTAACACGTACACAGAGTGCAGGCGGGAGACAAATGAATCAAACCCAAATACCTGTGACGACCAGGTGGAAATCTTTGCGGCTCCGTCCGCGCGGAGAGCGAGCCTCGCAGGTGTACCTTCCTCCATCCGACAGCTGGAGCTGCTTAATGGTCAGCTGGGAGAGCTCGTTGGTTTGGAGAATCCAGTAGCGGGAGTCCTCCAGGCTCAGGGCTTTGTCGTCCTTCAGCCAGCTCAGCCGAGCAGGCGGGTTGGCTTTCACCCGGCAATCGAGGGTCGCGTCCCGCTCCGCAGGGGTGACGGGAGGGTCTTCTCCGCTCAGGATGGGGGGGTCTGTGGAGCGCCAGCACGGGGGGGGGTCAGCGGAGAAGGGCCAGGCTTGGCAGGTGCCCTGGGTGCCCCCCCCCCCAAGCTGTCCCTGCCAGCTGCCCCTTCCAGGATAGCCTCGGTTGGGATAAAACGGCAGAGGAGAAATCAACGTTCTCCTGTTTCCTGCCGTGGGAAGTCAGCTCCCCCCCCCCTGCCCAGAGAAAGAAATATTCTTGGAAATATTTAAAAGGCAGAATATATTTCCCTAAAGGATTTTAAAAGGCAGAAACCAACCCCTCCCCCCCACAAGTCTCTCTGTCCCAAACAGAAACCAAGTCTATGAGATAATCTTGTCAGGAAGACTGGAGTCGGGAAACTGGGATTAGGAAGAAAGATCCCTAGAATCAACACCCTAAAAAATCTAAGAGTCATCAGCCCCAGCCCCAGGGAAGCGGGATATGACCCTTGGGACATAATAGGACTAACCCACCACCATCAGAATACCCGAAAGGCACACACAGACTCAGTTCATGCCACAGGAACAACTCCAAACAAAAGGCTCCAGAGGGTATAATAACCCACTCCCTACATGTGGTCCCTCTCTCTCTTTTCTGCCAGAGCCATCTTCCTGTCTGGCTCTCTTCTTCAATAAACTGCAACCTTCTTTCTAAAGCAGTCTCCATATTTGTTTATTCCCGGCTTGGACCGAACCCTGATAAAGATTTTTTCCTTCAACACTGCCGCCGGATCCAAGTGGGAAAATACAAACCATTACAAAGGAAGTAATCCAGGGATTCTGAAACGTTGGGCACATTAAGCTGTGTGGCCTTCAGCTCCCAGAATTCCCCAGCCAGCCTTGCTTAAAGTTTAAAGGGCGCCCGAGGTTGAGAAACAATTCTCTTAATCAGATTTAAAGATCAATCATCTTTTTTTTGTGGGGAGAAAGAACAGCTGTGGAAGGAGCCCAGCCTCCAGTTCTATGGCAATGGGACCCCTCCCCAATCCTCCCCCCCCCCCGGGTGACAGTAAACACAACATGATAATTCTGTAATTGTACTTATTATTTGCTGCAAAGGAAATCAGGAGATTTTTCTCTTTCTTTCTTCCTCCCTCCCTCTCTCTATTTCTGTCTTTCCTTTCTTCCTTCCTTTTCCTCTTTCACTCCCATTTTCCTTCCTTCTCCCTCCCTCCCTTCTTATTTTTTCCTTTCTTCCTTCCTTCTCCTGTTTTTCACTGTCTCCTGTTTCCCATTTCCTTCCTTCCTTCCTTCCTCTTTCTACGGCTTCTTCTCCTTCTTCCCTCCCTCCCTCCCTTCTCCTTTCTACTGCTTTTTCTCCTTCTTTCCTTCCTTTCCTTTCCTGCCTGTCTTCCTTCCTTCCCCTTACTGCTTCTTCTCCTTCCTTCCTTCCTTCCTTCCTTCCTTCCACTTTCTACTGCTTCTTCTCCTTCCTTCCTTCTTCTTACTGCTTCTTCTTCCTTCCTTCCTTCCTTCCTTCCTTCCACTTTCTACGGCTCCTTCTCCTTCTTCCCTCCCTTCCTTCTCCTTTCTACTGCTTTTTCTCCTTCTTTCCTTCCTTCCTTCCTTTCCTGCCTGTCTTCCTTCCTTCCCCTTACTGCTTCTTCTCCTTCCTTCCTTCCTTCCTTCCTTCCTTCCTTCCTTCCTTCCTTCCTTCCTTCCTTCCTTCCTTCCTTCCACTTTCTACTGCTTCTTCTCCCTTCCTTTCCTGCCTCTTCTCCTTCCTTCCTTCCTTCCTTTCTACTGCTTCTTATCTTCCTTCCTTCCTTCCACTTTCTACTGCTTTTTCTCCTTCCTTCCTTCCTTCCTTCCCCTTTCTACTGCTTCTCCTCCTTCCTTCCTTCCTTCCTTCCTTCCTTCCTTCCTTCCTTCCTTCCTTCCTTCCTTCCTTCCTTCCCCTTTCTACTGCTTCTCCCTTTCTTCCTTCCCCTTTCTACTGCTTCTCCTTCCTTCCTTCCTTCCTTCCTTCCTCCCTCCCTTCCTGTCTCCTTTTCTTCCCTCCCTCCTTTTTTTTAAAATCCCTTTTCTGCTTTTTCCCCCCCTACTATTTTGCGCTGGCATTTACGTTCTTCTTTGTACACCTCTCAATAAAAGCTTATTTTTGAAAGCCCCACTCACAGGTGACGTTCAGCAGCACAGAGATCTGCACGGATTTGTTCCGGGCCAACTGGCAGGTGAAGGAAACGCCGTTGTCCTCCTCGGTGACGGGGGAGATGCAGACGCTGCTGGCGTTCACTTTGTTCCCCTCCTGCAGGTCCACCTCCCCGTCTCCTCGCAGCCACAGCAGCTCCTCTTCCTGGCTGTGATGCTGAAGGGCGCACCAGAGCGACTGGCTCCGGCCCACCTCGGTCGGCAGCTCGTAGTCCCCAGTGTTGGCGTTGATGGACAGCTCTAGGCCTGAGGGAGGAAGGAGGGGCTCAGAATGGCAGAGCTGGGAGGGACCTCGGAGGTCTTCTAGTCCAACCCCCTGCTCAAGCAGGAGACCCTACACCATTCCAGACAAGTGGCTGTCCTTAAAAACCTCCACGGATGGAGCACCCATAACTTCTGGTGGCAGCTCAGAGATCAATAAAGACTCCAGAATCCTCTTCTCTCTCCTCTTGGTCTCCCCCTCTTCATTCCTTTGTCTTCTCATCCTCCTCCTCCTCTTCCCCTTCCTTCCCCTTCCTTCTCCTCCTCCTCTCTGTAAACCCTACTCCCTTCTAGCACTGATGATGTTCCCTAGTTGGGTCATGAAACGTCTGCAAGAAAACCACCCAGTTCAGAGAGCACCAAAGACCCCTCAGTCCTCCTCCTCCTCCTTAGTTCCAGGTTGCTTCTCTCCTTGATGAGTTTCCATCCGTTGCTTCCTTTCCTGCCTTCAGGCGCCTTGGAAAATAGCTTGACTCCCTCTTCTTTGTGGCAGCCCCTGAGATACTGGAACTCTGCTATCATGTCCCCCCATCGTCCTTCTCTTCCTTAGACTAGAGATACAACCGTCCTTCATATGTTCTTCATATTCCAGAGATTCCCTGCAGGTAGAATCCGTTGGTCCCAGGAAGAAAGAGTTCCAGTCATCCATGATTCCAGACTTTGGTGGAAGGAAAGAGGGCAGGAAGGATGCGCCCTCCCTCTTTGGCCTTCCGAAAGGGCCTGAAGACCTGGCTGTGCCAACTGGACTGCGGTCCCAATGGGACACTTCATTCTGGAGGCGATTAATAGATAAGACCCCATCTCTTTCCCATCTTCCTTCCTTCCTTCCCCTTATTCCCATGTCCTTCCTCCCTCCCTCCCTCCTTCATTCCCATCTGCCTCCCCATCCTCCTTCCTTCCTCCCTCCCTCCCTTCTTTCCTTCTCTTCTTCCTTCCTTCCTTCCTTCCTTCCTTCATTCTCATCTCCTTCCTTCCTCCCTTCCCTCCCTCCTCCCTCCCTTCTTCCTTCCCATCTTCCTTCCTTCCTTCCTTCTCATCTCCTTTCTTCCTTTTCATTCCCATCTCCTTTCTTCCTTCTCCTTCCCATCTCCTTTCTTCCTTCCTTCTTTCCTTCTCATCTCCTTCCTTCCTTTTCATTCTCATCTCCTTCTTTCCTTCCTCCATCCCTCCCTCCTCCCTCCCTTCCCATCTTCCTTCCTTCCTTCATTCATTCTCATCTCCTTTCTTCCTTTTCATTCCCATCTCCTTTCTTCCTTCTCCTTCCCATCTCCTTCCTTTTCATTCCCATCTTCTTTCTTCCTTCTCCTTCCCATCTCCTTCCTTCCTTCCTTCCTTCCTTCTCATCTCCTTCCTTCCTTTTCATTCCCATCTCCTTTCTTCCTTCTCCTTCCCATCTCCTTCGTTCCTTCCTTTTCATCTCCTTCGTTCCTTCCTTTTCATTCCCATCTCCTTCCCCATCCTCCCTCCTTCCCTCCCTCCCTCCCTTCATTCCTTTTCTGCAAATCAATTTCAGCGTCAGCATTTATTCTTTCAAGGTTTTGTCTTATTTGTATGGATTCTGAGCCACGTCGAGTTGCCTTTAGGCAAGATTCTAGGGTGGCCTCTAAGTTTTAATTAATTGTAGTTCCAGCCACGGTACCTTTAACCCCATCAAACATCCATATCTCCCTCTCCCAGGTTCTTGGGAAAGGCTCAGTATAGGTAGTTCTCGAAGTACCTGAGCCCAAAATTTCCGTTGCTAAGCAAAGTCGTAGTTAAGTGACTTTTGCCCCGTTTTATGACTTTCCTTGCCAGCGTTGTTAAGCGGATCACTGCAGGTGCTAAGTTAGTAAGAGGGTTGTTAAGCAAATCTGGCTTTCCACCTTGGACTTTGCTTGTCAGATCACAAAAGGGACACCTTTATGACCCCGGGACGCTGTGACTGTCATAAATGTGAGCTGGTTGCCGAGGCCCGAATTTTGATCACACGACCATGGAGATACCACAACGGCTGTTAAGTGTGAAAAAACAGTCCTAATTCACTTTTTTCCAGTGCTGTTGTAACTTGGAAGGGTCACGAAACAAATCGTTGTAAATTGAGGAGTCAAGCTATTCTCCAAAGCGCCTGAAGGCAGGACAAGAAGCAATAACTGGAAACTGATCAAAGAGAGAAGCAACCTAGAACTAAGGAGAAACCTCCTGACAGTTAGAACAATTAACCAGTGGAACAACCTGCCTCCAGAAGCTATGAATGCTCCAACACTGGAAGTGTTTAAGAAGAGACTGGACAGCCATTTGTCTGAAATGGGATAGGGTTTCCTGCCTGAGCAAGGGGTTGGACTAGAAGACCTCCAAGGTCCCTTCCAACATCATCATCATCATTATTGTTGTTGTTATTATTATTACCTGTGGGGGGACAAAAAATGCCAAATCCAGCCCGAACATCTCTCCTTACCTGTGACGACGCCGGGCGCGAGTGCTACAACGAAGAGCAACTTTAGGTAAAGGACGGCTTCCATTTCCACGCGGGTTGCTCAGTACCTGGGGTGGAAAAGACACAAGAGAGGGAGGGGGGGTTTAATGCTTCCACAGATTTGAAGGGGGTTCCCAAAACCGCGCACCGCCAGCCTTGCCGGCTGCACGCTCAGGAGGAAAGCGCCCCGACCGATCCCATTTTCATTCCAGGAAATCATCCGGGGATAAATCCCACGCCTTGATGCCCTCCGCCGTGCCAACGGTGCCCATTTTTTCCCAGTCCCCCCCCCTCCAGCACCCCCCCACTCCAGGCTATCAAAGCCCGACACTCACGTAAACGACCGGCACCGGGCACCCTTCGTCTGAAAAAGAGGCAACTGGGACTGCTCGGTTTTTATAGCCGTCCCAGTTATTTATAGGCCTTTATTGCGGTGCCTGGAGAAATGAGTCAGGTGTGCTGAGTTCAAGGTGCTGCCCATTCAAGGACTTTCTGGATAAACGCTGAGTGCTTTCCCCTGGGAAGAAGCCCCGGAGGAGCGTTCCGCTTTTATGGGCCTGGTTGGGACAATGAGTAACGAGCATCCCGCTGGGTGACTGATTTTGACCTGGCGGGCAGCGAGAGACCTTTTGATAGGCTGGACTTTGTTCCCCAAAGAGGACTAGAGGCTTAAGAGAATGGAAGCCAAGAGACTAAAACATNCTCCTTCCTTCCTTCCTTCTTCCCTCCCTCCCTCCCCCCTTCTCATTCCCATCTCCTTCCCCATCCTCCCTCCCTTCTGTTCCCTCCCTCCCTTCCTCCCTCCCTTCCTTCCTTTTCTGCAAATCAATTTCAGCTTCAGTATTTATTCTTTCAAGGTTTTGTCTTGTTTTTATGGATTCTGAGTCACGTGGAGTCGCCTTTAGGCAAGATTCTAGGGTGGCATCAAAGTTTTAATTAATTGTAGTTCCAGCCATGGCACCTTTAACCCCCATCAAACATCCATATCTCCCTCTCCCAGGTCCTTGGAAAAGACTCAATATAGGTAGTTCTTGAAGTACCTGAGCCCAAAATTTCCGTTGCTAAGCAAAGTCATAGTTAAGTGACTTTTGCCCCCTTTTATGACTTTTCTTGCCAGCGTTGTTAAGCGGATCACTGCAGGTGCTAAGTTAGTAAGAGGGCCGTTAAGCGAATCTGGCTTTCCCCCTTGGACTTTGCTTGTCGGAAAGTCACAACAGGGACACCTTTATGACCCCAGGACACTTTGACCGTCATAAATATGAGTCGGTTGCCAAGCGCCCGAATTTTGATCACACGACCCTGGAGATACCACAACGGCCGTTAAGTGTGAAAAAACAGCCCTAATTCACTTTTTTCCAGTGCTGTTGTAACTTGGAACGGTCACAAAACAAATCGTTGTAAGTTGAGGAGTCAAGCTCTTCTCCAAAGCGCCTGAAGGCCGGACAAGAAGCAACGGGTGGAGACTAACCAAAGAGAGAAGCAACCTGGAACTAAGGAGAAACTTCCTGACTGTGAGAACAATTAACCAGTGGAACAACCTGCCTCCAGAAGCTGTGAATGCTCCAACACTGGAGGTTTTTAAGAAGAGACTGGACAGCCATTTGTCTGAAATGGTCTAGGGTTTCCTGCCTGAGCAGGGGGTTGGACTAGATGATCTCCAAGGTCCCTTCCAACTGTTATTCTATCTATCCTATCCTATCCTATTCCCCAAAGCCCCTGAAGGCAGGAGAAGAAGCAACAGATGGAAACTAATCAAGGAGAGAAGCAACCCAGAACTAAGGAGAAACTTCCTGACAGTTAGAACAATTAACCAGTGGAACCACCTGCCTCCAGAAGTTGTGAGTGCTCCAACACTGGAGGTTTTTAAGAAGAGACTGGACAGCCATTTGTCTGAAATGGTATAAGGTTTCCTGCCTGAGCAGGGGGCTGGACTAGAAGACCTCCAAGGTCCCTTCCAACATCATCATCATCATCATTATTATTGATGTTATTATTATTATTACCTGTGGGGGGACAAAAAATGCCAAATCCAGCCCGAACATCTCTCCTTACCTGTGACGACGCCGGGCGCGAGTGCTACAACGAAGAGCAACTTTAGGTAAAGGACGGCGTCCATTTCCACGCAGGTTGCTCAGCACCTGGGGTGGAAAAGACACAAGAGGGGGGGCTCTTAATGCTTCCACAGATTTGAAGGGGGTTCCCAAAACCGCGTGCCAGCTGCACGCTCAGGAGGAAAGGGCACCAACCGATCCCATTTTCATTCCAGGAAATCATCCGGGGATAAATCCCACGCCTTGATGCCCTCCGCCGTGCCAACGGTGCCCATTTTTTCCCAGTCCCCCCCCTCCAGCACCCCCCCACTCCAGGCTATCAAAGCCCGACACTCACGTAAACGACCGGCACCGGGCGCCCTTCGTCTGAAAAAGAGGCAACTGGGACTGCTCGGTTTTTATAGCCGTCCCAGTTATTTATAGGCCTTTATTGCGGTGCCTGGAGAAATGAGTCAGGTGTGCTGAGTTCAAGGTGTTGCCCATTCAAGGACTTTCTGGATAAATGCTGAGTGCTTTCCCCTGGGAAGAAGCCCCGGAGGAGCGTTCCGCTTTTATGGGCCTGGTTGGGACAATGAGTAACGAGCATCCCGCTGGGTGACTGATTTTGACCTGGCGGGCAGCGAGAGACCTTTTGATAGGCTGGACTTTGTTCCCCAAAGAGGACTAGAGGCTTAAGAGAATGGAAGCCAAGAGACTAAAACATACGAAGAACGGCTGCGGGAGTAAGATCTGGCTAGTCTAAAGAAAAGAAGAAATAGGGGAGACAGGATAGCAGTGCTCCAGTATCTCAGGGGCTGCCCCAAAGAAGAGGGAGTCAAGCTGTTCGCCAAGGCACCTGAAGGTAGGACAAGAAGCAATGGATGGAAACTCATCAAGGAGAGAAGCAAACTGGAATTAAGGAGAAAGTTTCTGACAGTGAGGACAATCAACCAGTGGAACTCCTTGCCTCCAGAAATCATGGGTGCTCCATCCCTGGAAGTTTTTAAGAAGAGGCTAGACAATCACCTGCCTGAGGTGGTATAGGTTCTCCTGCCGGAGCAGGGGGATGGACTAGAAGACCTCCAAGGTCCCTTCCAGCTTCTATTCTATTCTATTCTATTCTATTCTATTCTTTCCATAATTCTATTCTATTCTATTCTACTCTATTCTATTCTCATAATTCTATTCTATTCTATTCTTTCCATAATTCTATTCTATTCTATTCTATATTCTATTCTATTCTATATTTTATTCTACACTACTCTACTCTATATTCTATTGTATTCCATAATTCTATTCTATTCTATTCTCCATTCTTTATTCTTTTCTATTCTATTTTCCATATTCTATTCCTATTCTAGGGTTAATCTGACAGAGATTGTTTTGGAAGAGCCCAAGACCTCGGCTGTAGGATTTATTTTATTTTATTTATGTAGCCCTCGTCTTACAACCACTGGTTTAGTGACTGTTCGAAGTTACGACGGCACTGAAAAAAGTTACTTATGACTGACTTTCACGCTTAACACCTACTACCCCATGGCCACGTGATCAAAACTGGGACGCATGGCAACTGGTTCGTATTTATGACGGCCGCAGCAGCCCAGAAGGGAACCACGTGATCCCCTCTTCTGGCAAGCACAGTGCCAGGGGGAAGCCGGATTCACTTAACAGCCATGCTACTAAAGCAGTAACTGCAGTGGGTCACTTAACAACATCGGCAAGAAAGGTCATAAAATGGGGGGAAAAGTCACTTAACAACGATCTCCCTTAGCAATAGAAATTTCGGGCAATACATTTGAATTTTGTGGCTGCTTGTCTCTTTGGCTGCCACTAGAGGAAGCTGCAGCACAGGATTTGGGATTCCTTCTGGAAACCGATTTTAATGGCTAAAGCAGTGTTTCTCAACCTTGACAATTTTAAGGCATGTGGACTTCAACTCCCAGAATTCCACAGCCAGCATTGCTGGCTGTGGAATTCTGGGAGTTGAAGTCCACATGCCTTAAAATTGTCAAGGTTGAGAAACACTGGGCTAAAGCCATTTTTCTACCTTTACAGGTGAGTATGAAGTTCAATGCTACGTTGGCATCACGTAGTTTTGATTTTTTTCCCTTTCAGTTCAGAGGGAATCTTTTTCATCAAAACTGAGAAACAGCAATGCTATTTATGTGGAAGACTTTGGCATACAAACAGGGTGAAAGAACAATCTAGGGAAAGCTTTAGAACAGTGTCTTCCAAACGTGGCAGCTTTAAGATGAGTGGACTTCAACTCCCAGAATTCCCCAGCCAGCGTGCCTGGCTGAGGAATTCTGGGAGATGAAGTCCACCAGTCCTAAAAGGGCCAAGTTGGAAGACCCCTGTCTTAAAGCATCCTGGCTGAGGAATTCTGGGAGTTGAAGTCCACAAGTCATCAAAGGGCCAAGTTGGAAGACCCCTGTCTTAAAGCCTCCTGGCTGAGGAATTCTGGGAGTTGAAGTCCACAAGTCCTAAAAGGGCCAAGTTTGAAGACCCCTGTCTTAAAGCATCCTGGCTGAGGAATTCTGGGAGTTGAAGTCCACAAGTCATCAAAGGGCCAAGTTGGAAGACCCCTGTCTTAAAGCCTCCTGGCTGAGGAATTCTGGGAGTTGAAGTCCACAAGTCATCAAAGGGCCAAGTTGGAAGACCCCTGTCTTAAAGCATGCCTGGCTGAGGAATTCTGGGAGTTGAAGTCCACAAGTCCTAAAAGGGCCAAGTTGGAAGACTCCTGGCTTAAGCGTTGACAGCAAGGGTGTGAAGACCCAAGTCAGTTTGGTGAAAGTTACTTGGCTCAAAGATTTCAAAGGAAAAGCTAAACCAGCTGCAGCTTGTGGGAACAGAACTGCACAATGGCATTAACGTGGTGTCCTTTGTTTCGAAACACTTGGCAGCAGCCAGTAGGAAAAACCTGTATGTGAATCTTGTGCCCTGTGACCGCTCTTATTACCGCTTCATTTTTCAAGTTACGGTCTTAGCCAGAAGCCCTCTCAAAACAGAGTACAGATTAATAAAAAAAATAAAACAATCCAAAAACACATGAGCCAGAAAGAGAAATGAAACATGCGCTGAGAAAGTGACAGTGAGAACAATTAACCAGTGGAACAACCTGCCTCCAGAAGCGGTGAATGCTCCAACACTGGAAGTTTTTAAGAAGAGACTGGACAGCCATTTGTCTGAAAGGGTATAGGCTTTCCTGCCTGAGCAGGGGGTTGGACTAGATGACCTCCAAGGTCCCTTCCAACTTTATTATTATTATTAACAACCTGCCTCCAGAAGCGGTGAATGCTCCAACACTGGAAGTTTTTAAGAAGAGACTGGACAGCCATTTGTCTGAAAGGGTATAGGGTTTCCTGCCTGAGCAGGGGGTTGGACTAGATGACCTCCAAGGTCCCTTCCAAGTATTATTATTATTATTAAACAAGGGTGCTGAAACTCAATTCTTAAAGTTATAAAAGTTATAAAATCCTTAGAAGGACCTGCTGCTGTTCCGAGCATAGCTGTGGAAGCTTATTTCTTATATATAGGTACACGCCAAGCAGTTCACAATAATATTATATTATATTATTATATTATATTATATTATATTATATTATATTATATTATATTATATTATATTATATTATATTATATATTATATTATTATATTATATTATATTATATTATACTATACTATACTATACTATACTATACTATACTATACTATACTATACTATACTATACTATACTATACTATACTATACTATACTATACTATACTATATGATTAGATTAGATTAGATTACCTTTATTGTCATTTTTTCCTGTGGGCACAATGGCACACATTAAAAATGAAATTTAGTTACTTGCTCTCAAAGTGTATGCATACATAACACACATTTAAAACATACTATATCCAACATATGTATAGACCTACTCTAGTCTAACAAAGAGAAAGACTAGGGGGGACATGATAGCAGTATTCCAATATCTCAGGGGCTGCCCCAAAGAAGAGGGAGTCAAGCAACGGATGGAAACACATGAAGTCTTAATACCACTTTACAAGGCCTTGGTAAGGCCACACTTGGAATACGGCATCCAGTTTTGGTCACCACGATGTACAAAAGATGCTGAGACTCTAGAAAGAGTACAGAGACGAGCAACAAAGATGATCAGGGGACTGGAGGCTAAAACATATAAGGAACAGTTGCTGGAATTGGGTCTGTCTAGTTTAACGAAGAGAAGGACGAGGGGGGACAGGATAGCAGCCTTCCAGTATCTCAGGGGCTGCCCCAAAGAAGAGGGAGTCAAGCTATTCTCCAAAGCGCCTGAAGGCAGGACAAGAAGCAACGGATGGAAGCTAACCAAGGAGAGAAGCAACCTAGAACTAAGGAGAAACTTCCTGACAGTGAGAACAATTAATCAGTGGAACAGAAGTTGTGGATGCTCCATTACTGGAGGCTTTTCAGAAGACATTGGACAATCATTTGACCAGGATGATACGGGGTCTCTGCCAGAGCAGGGGGTTTGACTAGAAGACCTCCAAGGTCCCTTCCAACTCTTATTAGTCTAGGATTCTATGAACCGATGCCCACTGGGAACCAGGATTACTGCAACACTTCCTTGTGCAGCCTTTGGAACTAACAGCCTCAAGCCAACGCAGCAGATAAAATCAGAAATCAAGGGAGGTGGGGATCCTTTGCCCTCAGCTGTAATGTCAGGAAAAAGAGGTAAAAGCCAGATTGGAAACTCTTGATGAAAATGAAACATGTCTCCGATGTTTTTCCACAGACAGGAAGCAATTAATCGCAGCCGCTCACATCCGGACAGATTGAGAGGAAAGGAGATCTAGATAAAGGATAAGTGGAAGGAGAGCGAACTTGCTCTGTTCTGCCCTCACCCTCTTAGATCTGGTTTCAAACCGGTGTAAAGGGCAAAGGCTGCATCAGGGGAAAATCCAGCCGTTTCCCGAAACTAAGGGGGCACTCAGGCTGAATTTCCCCCCCACCGAATCCGAATATGCATCTAATTCCATCTTGAAAAAATAGGGTGTCTTTAACACAGGGGTGCCTAACCTTAGCATGCATGGCTGGCTGGGG